TTGAAGGTTACACCTCTTAAAAGTTTCTATTAACGTATAAATTCCCTCTCCATATCCTTCTGCCCCTGCAGCTGATTTTATTGAAGAACCTGGGTCACTTGTCTTACACAGTTTCCCACCATCTTGACTAGGCTGATCGCATCCCCTACCCTGTTCACTTGGATCTCAGGGCTCTGTATTTCCTGTAAATAGGCAGTTGGATTTTGATGTTTGATCAGATTCATGATTAATTTCTTCTGTCAAGACTACCTCATAGGAGGTGCTGTGTTTTTTCATCAGGAAGCATACAATGCTTGGTTGTCTCTCCTTGATGATTATTTTTTAATTTTAGCAGTGGTTGATGACTGTCTTAGTTCATGATGTGCTGCTCTAATAGAGTACCTGACACTGGTAATTTAGAAAGAACTGTAATGCACTCTCTCACAGTTCTGGAGCCCAAGATCAAGGGGCTGGCATCTGGAGAGGACCTTCTTAGTGCATCCTCACATGTAGGAAGGTGGAAGGGAAAGAGAGAAAGAAGGCAGTGTTCTCACATGACAGAAAGTGACAGAGTGACCCCAACACCTCAAGCTCTTTTTATACTAAGTTCTTTTTATACTAAGAAGTAATTTTTAACACATAAATACAAAGTAATTTCCTCTTCATCTACTCTTTGGTTATACAGTGATACCACTCATATGAAGGACATGTGGAATCGAAAATTTCTTTTTTTCTTTATGACTGGGTCTCCCTCTGTCACTCAGTCTGGTGTACAAGGGACAATCACAGCTCACTGTAGCCTTGATCTCCCAGGCTCAAGAACTCCTCCTGCCTCAGCTTCCCGAGCAACAGAGAGTATAGTCACACACCACCATGCCCACCCAAATTTTGATTTTTAATAGAGATGAGATCCTTTATAAATTACCAACCGGGACTGGTAATTTTGTCTTTCCTTGAACAGTTTTCCAAATAATAAGCAACTTTATGACCTGGACACCTCCCATGAAGACACACCTCCCAACACTGTTGTACTAGGGATTATATTTCCAACATGTTACCTTGCGGGGAGACATTAAGACCAAAGCAATGATCAATACCTAGATCCATTATTTCTTCAGGAGTTGCAGAATAGTAATATTACAATGCTGAATGAGTCTGAATGAGTGTCACTGATGCAGCATGAGACGTAATGCTATCATTACGTCTTCATTTATTAGCTGTAATACTTACATAAGAAGTATTTGGATATCCAGTGAAACCACACAACAAGGAAACCCAGAATAGATGAATTATTCCTTTTTCCTTTATAAGGTTTCCAAATAGTAAGATGATCCGCTGGTAGCCTTCTACTTGCTTGATGGCTTATTTATCATTATACACTCATGCATGTATTGCTGTTACTATCTTTATTGATGCACCTGCCCCACCCTAGTAATCTTTCATAACTGCCCTATTTTCTGATATAACAGGATGATCCGGGATGATCTCATACATTTCCTGTCCAGACTCGCTTTCAGGCATTTCTCTAAGAAGTTCTGATCCGCTCAAATGAAAAATGCTATTTCCAGAGCATAATTACCAGCATGTGGATGGAGAAATGCTGAGTGACTGGGTTGGCCATTAATTCCAGACCTTTTCCGTGAACACACGCAGGAGTTTTCCTTCCCTCCAGATTTCTTTTATAAAAACTAAAACATACCGGGAATTCATTATGACATGTCTTGTCTAAGCTGAGAATAATCCAATTTTTGTTCACTCTCTTCTAACTTACATCTGTACGCTTTTTCTTCTGTACTAAGTATCCTGGGTACTCAATGACACCGGGAATGACAGAATTAGAATAGTATAATTTATCATCTATTTCATCCTGTAATACCCACCCAAAAATCTAAGATTAACAAGCAAAAATATCACCAGACACTGATAAATGTTCCTTGGGGAGAAAACACTCCTGGGCTGAGGGGCAATGATTTAATTAAATCAGAGTTCTCTCTGTATTTTCTACAAAAAAAGCTCAAGGCCAAATTAATGGCAGCTTCTAGGGAAACATAAAAAGACCTCAAAATGACAATTCTATCTATGAAAACCATCTAGGCTTTATCTTAATACCCAAACTTCATATTCATTTTTCTATTGAAAAAAATATGTATACTCTACATGTTTTTGTCAATTTCCACCAATTCTTTATGAAACAAAGGGGATGAGTGAATTCATTCACTGCAAAACAGAGGGAAGTGACTACTCCTCCTTTAAAGCAAAAATTAGAAATTTATTTATCTAAAAGCCTTTATCAATCATGTCCCCAATCAGTATCAATTATCCTTCAATTAAGCAAATCTCTACATATTGTTAGCTTCTTTCTTATCTGAAAACAGACTACTAACTACGGCTCCCTATAGCAAAGGCTAGGCCTTATTAACTCAACCCTGGACTCACCACCTAGCACAAGGCATGGCTGGCACAGACAAACTCATGTTCTATGTCTGAGTAAGTGTCATTGATGCAGCATGAGAAAACACCTTAACAGACAGGTGACTCATGTATGATACATTACATTCACATAGTTGTGGACCTGTGTAAAGCAGATGCTTAACATGTACTTACCCAATGCCTGCCAAAACCTGATAATCTAAACAACCTTAGCATATGAAAATCAGAATAATAAAATAAGATTTGCATATTCTCCCACTGGTTGCTGCAAGACAACACATATGCTTCAAAGGTAACTTCCTTTTCTCAATAAAAACAAAATAAAAAGAGACATTTTGGGTTGAAAACAGCATTTAAATCTTAACACATAAGGCCAGCCAAATGTAGGTGGTTACATGTTAGAAATTTTCCAGAGTCCAGAGGAGTCAAAAGGTAAAAGTTGATGGGAAGTATGTCGATCAAGTTCATAAATCGACATAAATAAAGAATTTAACCTTTCCTCTAATGTTATTTATGGTGCAGCTATATTAAAGCTACATATTGCTCTAGAAAAGATAGATGCAAGTACAAAACTACAACAATAACACAATAGGAAGTTCTGTATTTAAGTATATACATTACCATGTTACTGCTCAAATAAAGATACTATTTTCCAAACTTCTGGTATCTGCATACCTGAACTATTATTTAATTAAAATTTTCCATGAGTCAAATTTAGGCAGTCTATGTTGTGTACACATGATCATTCCAAGCAGATATCCACTAAGTCAAAGGCTTAATGAGCTAAACTACAGCTAACTCATGTGCCACCTACACATCATTTTTTATATCCTGTATGGTATATGCCTCACCTTTTGAAAAACACTACCCAAAGCAAATCCACCATAAGATTTCTTAAACATTATATCCTAATAGTAAACAAACTTATTTTCACAAAATTAGTTTCTTGCACATGTGCATAAATAAACCTAAATCTCTTGCATGTAAAAAATATTCAACTAAAACAACTTGTAGCTTCTGTTCCACCCCAAGCTTCCTGGGAAACCTCTGTCATTATATCTGAGTCTGATCTTGTCTGGATGATAGAAAGCAATTATAAGAAGTAGTTAGCACTGGTGTGGGGCTGCACGCAATCCTCTAGAGCATCACTAACAATCCGATCTTGAACTATGCCTCTTAAATTCTCTGCACCTCTGCAAGGCACACTTTTCCTGTGGGTTCTGATGGGCTAACAGATCTCTATTGTTGAATTGCTCTTCTTTGCTTGTTCTCTTTATACACACCTTCAAGGGACAGTAGAAGCAGTAGTAGTTTGTAAACATCTAGAAGCATATTGCCAAATTGCTACCAATTACTATCGATGCAAAAAAAATGGGAATTAGGATGCATTTTTAGAAGAATAAACTATATATTCTAAATATTATCTACCTATATTCTATTCCTAATTATATATTATATTAACATATATTATTACCCATCTGTTTATAAAGATCTACTGAAGACTACCAATCAGTAAACACACATAAGACCCAAATTTTCTACTTAAAAAGATGTCAAAGTGTTTCTAAATAGATGTACCTAAAAAATACATAATTTTTTTTTTTTTTTGGAGATGGAGTCTCACTTTGTTGCCTAGGCTGGAGCGCAGTGGTACAATCTTGGCTAACTGAAACCTCCACCTCCTAGGTTCAAGCGGTTCTCCTGTCTCAGCCTACCAAGTAGCTGGGATTACAGGCACCCACCACCACACCCCGTTAATGTTTGTATTTTTATAGAGACGGGGTTTCACCATGTTGGCCAGGCTGGTCTCGAACTGGTGACCTCAAGTGATCCACCCACCTTAGTCTCCCAAAGTGCTGGGATTACAGGCATGCGCCACCTCGCCCGGCCAAATAATCTTTTAAGCTTATACATTTATTGAAATTTATTTTCTAACTCTTAACAACTACTGAATTATAAGATTATACAACTACAAACAATAAAGATTTATAGCAAAAATATCTCACTTTGATGAGCTCTAACAGAGCTCTTCAGGCAAGTGTCCTGGATCTAGAATACCCAGGGTCCTAGGATTCCTCATATAGAGCTCATTATGTCCATATGCCCCTCCCCTATGGAGGTATTCTAATTGCTGCTCTCCCAGATCCCTGAAGATAACGTTGACAGGGAAGTCTCTTCTTCCCTGGCTCTTCAGATAACGTTCATATAATATAAGTAACAGTTGTAAAAGAGTTGACTGTAATGAATGATGCCATGTTTTGTTTCAATGCAAAGCTGTTTTGTTATTTCTATTTGTTCTAGCATTCAGATAAAATAGATGGAAAGGAAAATCCAAATAATTTAACTTGAATTATTTTCCTTATTTACAGTTAGCAAGTCATGGAAAGTCTACTAGTAAGCCTAATCTATTACAACGTAAAAAACTGCCTGCTTCTCTTGCAAAGGACATTTGCCTGGGTCCTAAATTTAATTTTGGGAGGGGAAAAAAAAAACAGATAATTAATTCCATTTACAGGAGCACAAATGCATAACAGAAGTTGGTATTCCTGTAAATTAAGGTGGTGTGAAGAGAAGAAAGAGCTTTTACTTACTTGCTCGAAGGACTGAAGGTGTGACCTCAATTTCACTTGTTGCTTGGTAAGGCTGAAAGGCTGAGACACTGTTGGTGGCAAGCTCACTACCAAATATCTCTGGGCTCTGGGTACCTGTGGAGCTGGCACTGGTGCCATCACCTCCATGATGTGGATCTTGCTCATCAAATACCGCGACCAGCTAGAAATGAAAGGTAAATGTGCACTTATAAATAAAGGCACTTAACAGAGTTAGGTAAATACACAGACAAACGGGTAAGTATACCATCAAATGTTAATGAATGTGTGAGTGCACAGAGTTTCCAGCTCTGTTTACACAGAGTCCCTAGAGGCAATGACAGTGAGCACACCTAGTACCCAGATCTTGGTTTCTAATACCATTTTCTAGTCAATGAACAAGGGCTCCTTGAAAAATGGTTGATTTCACGGCTGTGGTCTGGGAAACATATGGTAACCCTAGAATGCCCTGTGATGCCAAAAAGTCAGAAGTATTCAAGAATGATGAAGGCACACCAAAGGGAAACAGGTGTCAACCTGAAGGAGCTCCCAATGGCCAAAGCTGAGACAACTTACAAACAAAATAAGTAACACTGGCATTGAATCATAATCCAAAGAAAAAACTAAAATCCATGAGTCCATAATGCTATAAATAATTGAACAAATAAATGGTAGAGAGTGAACAGCTATTCCCTGCTATGGCATTCTAAATAACAAATAGAAGGAATGAGGGCAACAGAAATCATCATTAGGAAATCTCCACAATAAAAATTGTTCAGGTAAAATCTACTAATGGATGCAAACATTGATGGATATGAATATGATGATAAGCAGGATATTTGCATGGCTCAAAATGTCTCCCCACAAGAGACATTGTGACTAAAAAGTAAACAGTAATATCACTGAAGTAGAGAAGCCTGGCAACCACCACTGTACCCGGGTTAACAGCATCCATAGTAAGATGTAGCAATATCACATACCATCTCATAAAAGGCACTGGGAAGTAGATAACATTACTTTTGTGGTATTCTTGCCAAAAATGTATAACTTCCATCTAATCGTGAGGAAACATCAGACAAACCCAAACTGGGGGATATTCTGAAACATAAAGCTCTCTGAAAGTATCAAGGGTCCTGAGAGTAAAAGAAAGAATGAGGAAACTGAACAACCAGAAGAGTCTGAGAAGACTGTGAACTACATGCAGTGAGATGAGAGAAAAGGGCATTAGTGAAAAAACAGGCCCAATTCTAATGAGCTCTGATTAGCTGACAGAACTGACTCAGTGTGAGTTTCTTACTTTTGATAATTGTTCTATGATTATGTAAAATTAGGGATAGATGAAGGGTATAGGGAAATGTTCTGTAACTATTATTCCAATTTTTCTGAAGTATAAAATTATTTCAAATTTAAAATTTTAAATGTTATAATATTTAAAAATGCTATGAAAATACCAATTTATTCTATGTCTTCTTATAACTAATACAGTTCTTAATACACTAACATACTTCTTCTTATAACTCCCAAAGAGTAGGCTGGGCTCGGTGGTTCATGCCTGTAATAGCAGCAATTTGGGAGGCTGAGGCGGGCAGATCACTTGAGGTCAGAAGTTCAAGACCAACCTGGCCAACATGATGAAATCCCATTTCTACCAAAAATATAAAAAATTAGCTGGGTATGGTGGCACACACCTGTAATCCCAGCTTCTTGGGAGGCTGAGGCAGAAGAATTGCTTGAATCCAGAAGGCGAAGGCTGCAGTGAGCTGAGATCGCACCACTGCACTCCAGCCTGGGTAACAGAGCGAGACGCCATCATAAATAAATAAATAAAATCACAAAAAGTAAAAAAACTTAAGGCTCCACAATGGCTGTCACTGTGGAGATTCACCCTTCAATCCCACACCTAGCAACTCAGCTTAACCTGCCAAGAAAAGAACCATGATTGGAGCCAAAGCAAACCCCTCTTCTGCCTCCAATCCAAGCTTTTTCAAAGCCAATACTCACCTCAGGTAAAAAACAGAAATGCAATGTACAGAATGTGAATATGACTCAAAATTACAACCTTCGTTTTATAAATGGTTTTGTTGTTTTGAACAAATGCTATTTCCATGAATATTCATATGTCATTGATCCATCTATGACACAACAAAGAAAACCTGAGGAGTAGATAGAATTGGCTGATCTGGAAGAACTAGTACCAGGGTTCATACCATACCAGGGTAATTTGTATGAAGAAATCACAGTAGGATAAATAGTTGGGCCACTCAACCTTATAATGAACAACATAAACAGGAAAAGAAGTCCTTAATAGTTATCAAAAAATGGAAAGGTATGCATAAGTATACACCAAATTATCCATATACAGTAAAATCAGCTTGTTTATCTGACAATGACTGGCAAGTGTGTGCCTGTATTAATGACACAGACATACCACTAGATTAGGGATCAACTGGCAAACCTTTTCTGAAAAGACTAAGATAGTAGATAATTTTGGAGCTGTGGTCCGTACTGCCTCTTTCATACTCTATTCAACCACTGTAGCATGAAAGAGTACCCGTAGACGGGGTCCAAAGTGGCTCTCGCCGGATGTCGTGGCGCTTGCAAAGGCGAGGTCATGAGTTCAAGGCTAACCTGAGCAACCTTACAAGCTCACACTGATTGGCAAAAAAAAACAAAAGAAAGAGTACCCGTAGACAACATATAAACAAATGACTGTGACTACATTTAAATAAAACTTAACTTATGAAAGTAGGCAGCAGGCCAAATTTGGCCAATAGTCCCTAGGTGTGACAACCCCGCCCAAGTAGGATGCCCATCTTCCTAGTAACATGCAATTTTAGTTTCAGCTGAGCAATAAAACTTCACAGCCCTGAAAAACTAAAAATACTCATTTCAAGCTCTGCATGAGGATTCTGGATTTCTACACTTGATTTTAATATCATCATACTTTTCATAAGGTGTGTGGCTTAATATGCATTTTGAAGATATTAAGTTTTGACATTTGGGTGCTTAATTGGAAGCAAATGAAATTCATGTTTTGTTATTAACTTTTCACAATGATGTGTTCTCTCAAGAATCAAGTCCTTTCTGCAAACTGAAAATGGAGATTGAAAATTGTAAAGAACGAGTCTTTAAATGCCACACATGATGGAAGAGCTTATACATATATATTAGTTTCAACAATTATCTCTGGCATTTTTAGAAAACATTATAGAATCACAGTTGGTGATTTGCAATATGCCAATAACATACAATTCTACAGCTTTCTTTTAAACCAAAATTTAAGTGACAGGTGCAGATATGAAGTAATTTTGTGTTAAACTGGGAAAGATATGTAATTTTAGAAAATCTACTCTATAAGAATACATATAGTAACAGCAAAAAAGGGGGGAGAACCTTCACACACACACAAAAAAAAACACTACATATTAAAAATCTCTATCATGCCCTTCGAAAAGTAAAGGAAATGTCTTTTAAATTTGTGAAATGTTACTCAAATTCTTATTTAACAGATGGAATCTTCACTGCTGTCCACAAGACAGATCATTTTTGAAAGTTCATTTTTACTTGCAATAATTATTAAACTCTCTTCCGTTCCACTCATCTATCAGGTCTCCATGAGAAAACCAGGCCAAATCTGAGTAACACCTATAATAACCCAAGTATAAATAAACTCTAAATATTGCCACCCATGCCCCGCTACCTCAGGACAAGTCACTTTAGCTATAAAACATCAGAACCCCCCCACTCCCGACAGAAAACCTGTTATAGAAACATCACACAGAAATGCTTATAAAACGATTGGATCTAGGGAAGTCCCTTTAATGGGTAAAATTAAGAGCTGAAAGCCCACAGGTGCATGTTAGCAAAGTGGCTAACAGCAATCGAGAATCAGAGAAAGCTACGTTCAAAGCCAGCTCTGTCCTTATTTCTTGGGTAGATGTTTGTAAATCCAGTGGCCTAAGATCTCTAAACCTTACTTTCCTCATTTGGAAAAAAGGATGGTGGTTGTGGGTAGACAGAATCATGGTCCCCCCTCAAAGTTATCCACACCCAAAGTCCTGGAACCAGTGAATGTGACCTTCCATGGCAAAAGGGACTTTGCAGACAGGATGGAGGTTAAGGACCTTAAAATGGAAAGGTTATCCTTCATTATCCAGGTAGAGTCCTATCTAATGACATAAAGTCTGGAAAAATGAAGAGCCTCACCTGGCTATGGCCAGAGAGAGATGTGATAATGGCCAGAGAAATCCTACCCTGCCCACCTTGAAGATGCACAAAGGGAGTCACGAGCCAAGGAATGTGAGCAGAAGTCAAGGACATGGATTCTCTCCTAGAGCCTCGAGAAAGGAGCATGGTTAATACCTTGATTTTACGGCATTCTGACCCATGTCAGCCTCTGCCAAGCAGAAGTGCTGGGTAATGAATCTGCATTGTTTTCAGCCACTTACACGTGCTCTGCCAGATGTGGGACAAATAAAGACATAAGGTATACAACTCACAGAACACAATAAGCACGTTTACTATGAGCTTTTATTAAATTATATTGTGATGGTTGATAAATGAGAGTCAGTTTCAAGAGCAAAGAAGACTGATGCAAAGCTCAATCGCTGCGTCTCGGATCCACACTGGAGTGGGAAGGGGAGAAAAAACTAGGAAAGAAGCCAACGTGCTAGAAAATGCATGTTCAACACAGAGCCACAAAATGAAGTCTTTCCACAGACGCCCTACATCCTCATCCAGAGGGCCCCACAGAGACACAAAGTAGCTTTTATTATTTCACTTAACAGGAAGCAAAGCTGAGGCCCAGAGAGACGTACTTGACTAGCGTATAAATAACTGCAGAATTAATTTGAGGTGGGAAATCAAGTCAAAGATCCTATTTTCTACAAATCTTCCTGCTCTGGAGCATCTAACATCCACAGCACAGCTCACTGGCAGGCTAAACACCAAGATCATCTGCAGGCCTCCGAATAGGATTCTGTTCATTCCTGATGAACCAAAGGTAATACCTCACCATAATTTACCAAATTAATGCAATTTTGATGACATCACAAATGTTTCTGAACATATCTGAGGGTAACAAAGATCATCACAGACAATTCCATGCTCCTGATGCCATCATGAAGTCTTCAACAGAGGGCTTAAAAGGATCACAAGAACCTGCAGATTCTACCTTCATACAGG